ATGACCTTTTAAGGAATCAAACCAGTTCCTCAATAACCAGCCATGAGTAATATTGTTGTAATTCTCAGCAACGAGGTCCAGATCAAAGTGCATTCCTGCGTGTGGCTCCTTTCCCCATGTGCCGACCTTAATAATCTGGAGACGCTTAGTGGGTCTCTAGCTCCTCTACCCTTTGGGGACTGTACCCTGGCGCCCCATAAAAAACTGTTACAAAGCAATTCCATTATTGTTATTGTCCCAGAGCCTCATTAAGGTGAGAATCAAGTGTCTTTACCCTACGAGGGGCTTAGGAAGCCGAGAGTCGCTCAGTTTCAACTTAGTAACTAACTGCCTGTTAGGGAAACCATGCTGTGAGGCCCTGGAGTTGAGCTTTGGGGTCAGGCGAAGCTGAACTTGAATCCTGGTTCTGCCATTTAACTGACTGTCTGGCCTTGAATTGGTTATTTCACTCCCGCTGATGTCTGCCCTCACGTCTGAAATGAAGATGAGAACCAAATCTTCATTGTTGGGTGTGGGGGCCTATGAGTGAGTCATGGGGGAGGCAAAAATGTTAGGTTTTGTTGTTGTTATTATTTATCAATTGAGATACTCGAGCGCCTAGCTGGGTGTCACTTCTAACCTTATTTGCTGGAGTGGATTGCTAAAACATTTGCCATTCTGGTGACCTTTCAGTTGTCATGAGTCGTTACCTAATGTGTGGTCACTCGGGGCAGAGATTGGGGGTCCAGGGAAATGAGTTGTCATGGAGACAGAGACAGAGATGGACTAGGGACCGTGGCAACAAGCACGGTCAGAGAGCATCTCAGATTTGGGGATTCCCCTGTTTCTCTCTAGGGCTCGCGACTCTGAGTGGGGGAAGTTTCTCAAGTGCCCACAGTCATGTTCAGGTGGAGAGAAGTGGCCACCCCTGCCCGAGGCATAAAGCAACACGCTCCAAGGGGACGGCTGGCTGGAGAGATGATGTAATAAAGTTAACTGAGGGTGCAGGTTGTAGCCTGGGAAACAAAGACTTAACTTGTGGATCCCGGCCACCAGCAGCCGGAAGAAGAGAGTAAAGGAGGTCAAACACATGGTGAAGAAAGGAGACGGGGCTTCCTGGGGGAGCGCGCAGTAGAGTAGGCAGGTGCGGTATTGTGCGGTCGGACGCCTGAAATTCACACCAAGTTCTTAGCCAACGTTACCCCAATAAATTTAATTTTGAAAGCCGAGCAGAGGGGCTTATCTGCTTCTGTGTCTTAAGGCACACGTGTGAAGCGAAATGCAGTATAAAACGAACCCATCTTAGGCGTGCAGTGCTGTGAATTGTGACAGACGGGTCCTCCTGTTGTGTAAGCACCACATAGTCGAGACATGGGGCCCTCTCACCACCTGAGGCAGGTCCCCCCCTACCCGTGGCCTCTGGAGCTGTGGCTGACCACAACCTCTCCACCTCAAAAAGCCCACTGGCTAGGTGTCTTGAAGTTTTCCACAAAATGTGCGTCGTCACATCCGGTGTTGAGAGCGGCCAGGCCTCTGGCTGCTGCCAGTGAGCCTCCTCCGCCCCGCCATTGCTTCTTCTCGCTGTTTGTCCAGCAGGGGCTCATCGCACTGCTGTCTGAGGCGAGGTGGGAAGACCCTCTGCCGTGTGTGGGCACAAAGTGTCCTCTTGCGTGTCCTCTGCTCTTTTGGGGGCCCTGTTTGGGTCGGAGAGGACACCCAGATGAAAACTTAAGTGAGGATGTGTGGAATTAACTTGCGCTGCGAGGCAGAAAGTCAAGACATGTCACAAGGTCCTGTCACATTGCAGTTTTGGCTGAACAGCGGGGACAGCGAGCGAGAGGCACACAGGAAAGAGAGGGCGGGCTGTTCAGGAAAAGGCTCCAAAAAAAACGGAGGCATTGTAAGGACCGCCTGTCGCTCTCCTCCTCGCTGTCCCCTCCCCAAGCCCTCATAGAAGCCTTTGATTCCTCCAACTGGAAAGAAATTCCACTTCCTCAATTCACATCACGCGGCCTCGCCCCCCACTTCCCTCCCCCTTCTTTTTCTCCTCACTGCTGTGCTCAGCTTCCTCTCATTGCTGTGCTCCGTCCGGCCTGGAGTGCTCCCCGGCACCTGGGGCACCGGGGCCATGACCACATCAGTCTTCCTCTGCCCCTCCCAGTACTCGAGAGCAGTGTCTTGTACAAAGTAGATGCTCAATAAATCTCGGCTTGTTGCATCACAGAGTTGCGCATTGGGGAAAAAACAGCAAGGGGGAGAATTCTTGGTCAGGAAGAAGGGATAAAATTAGAAAGATGCTTGAACTGCTGCCATTGTTTATACTCCTAGTTAGCTTGCTGTTTCGGTTCGGGATGACAGTGCAAAAGAGAAATGCACTTTGCAGTATTGGAAGTTAGCGTGGCTTTGGTCTAAATCAAATCTACGTAAGCCTTTAATTGCCTGAGACTGGGTATGGATTAGACGCACCCCCCTCCTCACACGCACGTGCACGCACACACACACACGTATTCTCACACCCTGTTAGGCTTCTGTCTCTACCCACTCACAGCTCCTTAGCACTTGGAAAATCTTGTTTTCCTGCTGTTTCATTCTATTTGGGAGAAGAGGCAGAAGAAACTTGAGAGCGGGCCATGCCGGGCTCCGTCTGTGTCTAGTGAACTGCGTCATTGATGCTCTCATGCTGAAGTCGTCCAGAGGACGGGGCAGGAGTCTGGGGGCCGCCTGCCGGACTTCGCCTGCCTGCCTTCTCCTCCTTCCTCCCCCCTCCAGGGAGACCTGGGCAGCTCCCGCGTCCCCTCCCACAGTGCACTGCGGCTCTGCGGACTCTTCCATCCCCAGCTCTCCTCTTGTAGCCTCTGCCTGCCCTGCCTCTCTTCACTAGAGAAGCAGGAGTTCTCACTCCTTCTCAAACCTTCCCTGAGCAGAAATCAGGTAGTGTTCTCCCTGCCTCAGGCTGTTCATTTCACACCCCCTCCGCCCCACCCCCCAAAGCGATCAAAACAGGAGTCCATGTATAAACAGAACTACTTGAGCAGTTAAAACGCTCGGAGCAGTGGAAACAGGAACTGGTCCCCAAGGGTTGGCTCTCTAGAAGGCTGACCTGTGGCCGCCGTCCTGCCTGACCTTCTAATGTTGCAGATGGCCAAGAAAAGGTCAGGGACAGTACACATAGCACGTAACCATAGCTGTGTGACTTTGGATGAGTAGTTCTACTTCTCTGTGCCTGAGTTTCTTTATTTGTAACAGGATAACCATGGTGTCCCCTGTCAGTTTCACGGCAGAAAATACTCAAATCACTCACACACGAAGCATGAGTAAAACATCGATTAGGATGTCAAAATGCTGCGGCCCTTGGGAGAGCGCCGCGGTGCCTGTGCGGTTATTGGTGCCAGTTCCCAGGTGCCTAAGTCACCGCTGCCTGAAGCTCAAGGTCAGCTCCGTTTCACAGGAGAGCAGGGCACTAGGGGCATGGACATTGAAGCCACGACGAGCTCTTACTCCACACCTGTCCGTCACCGTGGCTAAAGGGAAACCAGTGTGAGGACACCGACGCTGGCGAGGATGTGCATCAGAGGGACCATCCCCGCCCGCTGGCGCGAGCGTGAAATGGTACAGCCACTCCGCACAGCAGTTTGTCGGTTTTTTGTATAACTAAACATGCAGTTGCCGTAGGATCCAGCAACTGCACTCTTGGGCATTTATCCCAGAGACATGGAAACTTATGTTTACACAAATCCTGTACACAGATGTTCACGGCAGCCCTGTTTGTAATCACCAAAGACTGGAAACGACCCAGAAGTCCTTCGGAGGGGTGGTGGTCAGACTGTGGAACATCCCGCCGTGGAATATTACTCAGCAGTGGAAAGGGACCAGCTGTTGACCCCACGACTCGCATGGATAGGTCTCTAGGGAATTATGCTGAGTGAGAAAAGCCAGTCTCGGGGGGTTGCTGCGTGAGTCAGTGAAGGACACATTCTTGAAATGACAAAAATTGCAGAAACCAGAAACAGATGAGTGGATGTCAGGGATTAGCAGCAAGGGCGGGGGGAGGTGGGGGTGGTGACCACAGAGTAACGTGGGGGGTGCTTGTGATGACGAGCGTGGTAGCAGGTACGGGAAACTACATACGTGATGAGATTGCGTAGAAGTAAGCACACACACACGTAACTGCGTGTAAGAAGAAAGGCAAGTGAACTGGATGACGCCAAGCAAGAGACAGGGATGGCTGTCTGTCTGCTCGCGTTGTCCCGTGGTTCTCCACACTGCCACCATTGGAGGGACCGTGGGTCAAAGGCACACGAGATCTCTTTGTATTATTTCTTACAACAGCTGGTGAATCTACAGTCTCACACGTCAAAGTCTGATTTAAAATGAGGAGGCAGGATTCAGAGCCAGGAGGTCAGAATTCGTCCTGTCGGCATTCTGGGGAGTCGCTGCTACTGCCCTGTGTTAAAACTGGAAATTACTGTGCTCCCTTGTTCTGATATTTCATCCGGTGGTCACATGGCCTGCAGGGCAGGAAAAGGGCCGGGAGAGTGGAGCATTCCACAGCCGGGAGTGACGCCGTGGGGCAGTGCGGTGGTTCCTCCTCTTACCAGCATACGATAAAGTCTTTCCGAAGCCCAGAACATAGCACCAGAATGAGCAGAGAACAGAAGGGAGTCGGGGTCAAAGCACAGTGTGTCTGGCCCTGGGGCTAAGTCTGGACGCTGCCCATGGTCCTACAGCCTTGACCATGACTGGGTTAAGTCTGGGACACTGTCACGTGTGAGCACCATTGGCAGGCCCGCCGGAAATAGCCCTGCGTGCGGAGCCAGGTCTTTGGCAAGCTGCCTCTCTGGAGACGTTAACCCAAAGCTAAGGCTTGTTCTTTGGTTTCGTGGCAGATGGCATGTGGTGACTGAGAATTGGACTCCTGGCTCTTTGGCCTTTTGTGGGGGAAGGTTTTCTGTTGTGAGAGTGTGTTTTAGAATTGGGAAATCAGGAGGTGTTGGTGCATGATGGCTTCCTTTTCTTTGAAGTTGTAGGACCGTCACCTCTGGACAGCAACATTGAGGATCAAGAGATTGTCACTAATCCACCAGATATTTGCCAAGTAGTGGAGGTGACCACTGAGAGCGATGAGCAGCCAGTCAGCATGAGCGAGCTGTACCCTCTGCAGATTTCCCCCGTGTCTTCCTATGCAGGTAAGGGGGGCCAGGGCAGCTCTGGGGCTGAGCAAGGAGTGAGTGGGGCGGGGGCTGTCCTTTAGTCCAGGGTGGCCCATGTCCCTGCCCAGCAAAGGGCCTCTCCTCTCTCCTGGGAACTGTTCTTGCTTTAATTTTCTTGACCAGCATAACTTGGAGACCATTCTTCACAGAGGAGACAGTCCCGGCATTTTTTTTTTACTTGATCACCCATAACGTTTTCATGTATCACTAACGAATAATAATATTCCTTTGGGGAAGTAGTTCACCTGAGTCCATTATATTTGCACAAATTCTTAGAAATTCCGAAGGGTGTTTGGCATGGAATCTGAGTTGGACCAAGCTGGATAGGACCTCAAGGAACACTTCTTCCAGTTCTTTTGGAAGTGAAGGGACTTGTTCCAGGTCACATGGCCAGGAAGTGTCTGGGTCGGGACTCGAACTAGCCCTTCGGACCCCACAGCTCATCCCATTCCCCCCGGGTTACTTGTGACTCCCCCATCTGTTCCTCTTCTTTTTCGATTCGGTCCGGCTTCCCGTGGGGCCTGACAGCTGAGCCCATCTCTGAGCTCCCAGGAGGCGGCTGCAGCCGTGCAGGGATTGGCTCAGACAGTCACAGGCCCGGAGCCCGACCCAGGCGGCTTCCCCTCCTTACAGACCACAGTGACGGCCCCTTTCTTCCACCAGCATCACAGGCTGTCCTACTCGGCGCTCTCCGTTTGATCTGGGGGCACTCGACTGTAACTAGGAAATACAGATTCCAAGTCGGTGTTGTTGCTCGCAGACGTCAGAAACACAGAGCACAGGCCCCAGCTTGAGTAGCTGCAGTCAACTGAGTTCTCCCCGGTGTCCCTTCTGCGGGCTGCCACACCGAGTGTGCTTCGGTTAGGGTGCCGACCCAGGGACAGGTGGTTTGTGACTTACCAGTCACTGAATCCCCCAAACCCCAACTTTCTCTTTTAACTTTTAAATAATGGTGGTAAAATACACATAACGTGAAATATACCAGCTTTGCTCCTCCGCTGGCATCAAGTGCGTTCACGCTGTACAGCCATCACTGCTGTCCATCTCCAGAACGTTCATCACCAGCTCACTCTCCCCGCTCCCCCCAGCGTCTGGGAGCTACCATTCTACTTTCTGTGAGTTCGGCTGCTTCAGATACGTCATCTGCGTGGAAGTGGAGAGTATGCGACCTCTGTGACTGGCTTCTTTCACTTAGCACAAGTGCTCAGGGCCCTCGCTTTCCTTTCTGCTTGGACAACTAAAGCCGTGTGAGAACGGCCTTGGCCACAGGAGGCTTATAACCTGTTGAGCAGGACAAGCTTGTCATCTGTTATTTAGGCATGAAGCCTGTTTGGATCCCTACATGGGAGTCCCTCGCTGTGTGTTTCCTGTGCCTGGGGACCATGCTCCTCTTGGAGCTCATCGGCGTCATCGTCATAAGAGTAATCCCGCTGGCCTAGGTGCCATGATCATTCCCTCGTTGAAATCGGGAATCCAGGGCCCATGTGGCCAAAGCGGTGTGTCCAGGGGCGGAGGACAGGGCAGCACAGTGAGCACCCACGTGGAGCTTAGGCCAAGGGCCCACTCTTACCCCATCACCCCAGTGCTGCCCGGGCCAGCTGGCCACATGGGCTCCGCCATCAGAACACGTCACCTCCCATCCCCCCATGATCTCGGAGAGCCCCCGGAATGAGGCCCAGAGACAGTTCCTGCCTCAGTGTTACAAGCAGAGATAATTGAAGGTTGACCACAAGGCTCCTCTGTTTCTACTTACAAAGCAGCGTGGCTGCCACATGATGCACCATTGTCACTCCCCACGTGGTCTTCGTGACGGGCTAGAGCTTTAGGGTGGGTTTTTCCATGCGTGCGTTCAGTGCGACTTTTCTGGCGTCTCCTCTGGAACGACCTCTGCTGGCGTGTCCGCCCGCAGTGGCGTTTTGCTTTAGCAGAGGAATCCCGAGAACAGCTGACTCACGCAGAGAGAGATGCAAGTCTCATTAGCCTTTCAGGCATTTATTTGCATGGGTTTGAAAAGCAGGCCTTCAGTGCCAGGCCGCGGGGTTTGGTGGGAGGCCGGCCTTGAGTTCTTTCTGTTGTTTTCACTGTCTGAATTCTCCAGAGCCCTTTGGAGGGAGGCCTGTCGGTTGGAGCCAAAATGTTTCATCACTTATTTTTTTCATAAGTCCGTTAGTGGCGATGGCGAGTTCAAGTTTATTTAGTCAGGAATTCTAGAGCATGCTGATAGGAAAGGCAGTTTTTTTGGTCCTTGGTCAACTTTCTACCTCTGTTCCCTGGTGGGGTTGGCTCTTTGCCCGTTTTCCGTGACGGGTTTTTTTGTTGTTGTTTTGATTATTCCACTGAATTTCAGCCCTTTCTAACCACTTCCATTCATGTGTTGCAGAGACTGGTATTTGGAGGCCGCCGTTAGCTATTTTTTCCCCTGCTGGTCACTGAAATAAAATCCCAACAGGATTACAAAACCGCATTCAGTTTTGCAAATCTATCTTCTCTCTAGTCTAAGTAGATGGTGAGCAAGCAGCGATGGGGGTGGAAGTCTTTGCATGGGGTGTTTTTAAGGCACAGCATCAGATTCTAGTTGGATTCGTAAGACTTTCGTCCCAGGGAGGGTTGTCCCAGAGCCCAGCCTTGGGAAACGAGGGGAGAGTTGTTTTGTTTTTAAAGGTCCCCTGTAAGAGGGCCTCTTGCCTGCTGTGTGACACCAGGGTGTCATTAGGTTGTTGATAGTTTCGTAAAAGTGTCACAGGAGCCTGTTGGAGGGGCCTGGGTGAGGGGATGGGGTCGAGCTGGGGGAGGAGGCACGGTACAGGGGATTCACCGCTCACAGCCGAGAGAACGGAGACCGCCTCCCCACCGACAACCGGCAGTGAAGGTGCCGAGTCCCCAGGGACCCCAGTGCCTTCTGTTGGGTGAGGCAGGGACAAAGCTCCTCCGAGATGAAGGTGACTCTGATTTGAGCCTTTTCTCAAGCCTTCTAGTGAAAGTAACTGAGCAAATGATTGAGGGAAAGAAATTCTGTCAAGCTTAATACGACTTGTTGTACAAGAACCTTCCAGAAAAGGTACCAGGATGTCAGAGGGCAGAGAGGCTTTGCTGGAAAACGTACTGTCCCCCCGGCCCCTGAAGTTCCTGAGATGGTTCGACAGTGAAGACTGGGCTGCATCGGAGTGTGAGCCAAAGGTGAGCGTCGCCCGAGCGCTGCAGACCTGGAAGAAGAATCTTCGAGAGCATCTAATCTGAACGCCTTCCCAGGTGCTTTCAGGGAAACCGAGGCCAGAAAGATGAAATGAGTGACTCATATACCTGTTATTACTCTCAGAAATTATTCAGACCATGCTGGGAAGCACCTCCCAATTATGTTTTATTCCACTGTGTTCGAAGTAAATAAAAAGCCAGATCTGAATTAATTGGAAGGAAAAATGAAGTAACTCATGTTGCTATTGAAAGTGGCAATAATGGTGAAGTAAAACCAGGGAAATGGGCCCAAGTACCCCCCCCCCCAAAGTGCTGTGTGCCAGAGCTCCAGGGGTGGCCGTGGGAACCAGTCATTCTGGAGAGAGTGTCTTGGGTCCTAAGGCTGGAGCTTCAAGCATGAAGCTCTTAGGCTGAAGGCAGCCAAGGTCATCATCCTCTTCAAGGGCGGCATTGGAAAGCTCAGTTTTCCAGCGTGCAGAGCCTTCATGACCACTCCGGAAGCATCGGCCCTCATTTAGAGACCATGCTCTCTCAGCCAACATTTGTGTCAGCTGGAGCGTGAGTTCAGAACACGTGTGTCTTTGCGTGTCTCCGGCTGGGTCCCTGAAGCTGAGGACTGGCTGCTCCATGGCCGTTAGCACTCTGACCGCGTGCATGGTCTGTGCCAGGTGTGACCAGGGAGCCTCACCCAGGCTCTGCCCTCCAGCCCCTCCGGAAACTGCCTTGGGCTGCGGTGGGATTCCAGAGCCTTGGTAACAACTGCGCATTTTTGCGCATTTCCAGCCCCGAAAGCACACCTGTTTTGTTTTTCTTTGAAGGGGACAGTTATTTACAGAGGGTAACTGGGGGGGAAGGGCCTAGACATACAGGAAAGGAAGAGAAACCTTGGTCTCTGCAGAACACAGACAAAGCCAAGCATAGAAATGGAAAAGGGGATCTTGAAATTTCGTCAGACACCAGAGCAGCAGGCGTGATACTGAGGCTGTTAGCAGCCGACGGTCTGTGGCTCGTAGTCAGGGAAGCTTCGGGGACACCTGCTCAGTCTGAGGAGAGCACAGGTCATCCTCTCGTCATTCACAGTCCCCCTCGGCTGTCACTCACAGCCTGGAAATCACCGGAGAACAACGGCTGAGAACCCAGCAGAAAGGCTCCAGGTGGGGCCCCTGTGGCCGCTCGCTTGCTGCTTTCTCTGTTAGGGAGAAGGGTGGCTCAGTCTGTCCCCGTGCTCCCCCGCCTTCAGCTCACAGAGGGCCTGGTCTGCGCCCAGGGCTCTGGGCTGCGGCTGTGCCAGCTGCGCCGCCGGCAAGCCGTGACCCTGGAAGCCGGTTCCTCAGTGGGAGGATGACAGCGCCGCCTCCCAATGCGGACTCCCGGGGAGGCCAAGGAGGCCTGCGTCCCCAGTGTGGCCCAGCCCCACGCACGTGGCCGTGCGTGACCGTGTGCTGGGACGGTCGCTCTTCGGGGCCCAGCCTCGGGGGTCTCTGAGGGTCTCTGGGTTTCATAAGTTCTACCCTTGGTGCTTTGCTTTCCCAAAGCTGTGAACTTTGAACAACTTTAAAAAAATCTTGTGTTTTATGTAGATTTGTAATCAAAAAAGTCAATTTGGCATTGACTTTGACGCTGTTAATCTAGCATGTGCAAACTGACCGAGGCACAGTTCAAAGGCACAGCAACCTGCACTGAGTGTTGTTCAGTGAGGCCCCTGCCAGGGCCTGTCCAGACCTGCCCCGTGCCTCTCACTCGGTCAGCACGTAGCCCCGTTGGGGAGGTGTGACCCTGCCATTTGGCAGATTGGGAAACCGCAGCTCCGGGAAGGGAGGTGACTTGTCCCGCAGCTCCCGGCTGGCAGGCTGAATCCGGATGCTGACAGACTCTAGTTTTGCAGCTTCAGACAACACGCATTTCTTATCCTGCCATTTCTGAGGCTCAGGAGGGCAGGCCTGGCTGAGCTCAGAGCAGCAGGGACCGACGTCCAAGCTCAGAGCGCGTGGGCTCCTCGTGTTGTCCCACTGAGGGCCTCCATCTCTTGCCATCTGTGGGCTGGAAGCAGCCCTTAATTCTTCGTCCCACGAACCTCCCCCTGGAAGAACCTCCCCAGACTCAGGTTCAGCCTCGTGTTACATAATCACACACACCTCATCCCCATCGCGGCCGTGTACTGTTGGGTTAAAGCAAGTCACGGGTCCCAGTCACCCTCCCAAGGAGGGAACCCCACAGGAAAGTAATCACCGGGATAAGGATCATGGTGGCCACCCCGGAATATGCCCACCCACAGTAACTGGGTGGGAGATGCAACTTACAGATCCAGGACATACACACTGGGGGGGGTGTGAGGTAAAGAAGGGGTCTGTCTGGTCGGGGTGGCGGAGGAAGACTCTGACACGTGGTGAACTTGTGGACTTGCACCTGAGGAGTGGACCCGTGGGGGCGTTGAAAGAGGGGTGGTGAGGACCAGGCCTGGCGAGGAGGCAGGTGTGAGCAGAGAGCGTGGGGAGCAGGAAGCAGGTGGCACCCCAGCGATCGTCACCCCATCCTGGCCAGTGGAGAGTGAGCTGCCCCTGAACCCTTTCTCTTTAGGGCCAGTGAGAGTGCCCCCATGCACGCTAGCATCTCCCAAGCACACGAGTTTGACCTGACAAGGGGGACAGAAATTACGAGTTTTAGTTACCCATTTCTCTTGGGAAAAAAAGACGTGCCGATACCTTTTTTAACACTGCCCGAGCCCCGAAACCGTTCGTGTGGCAGGAATGATGGCCCTGTGTGTTTCTCTCTCTGCACAGGAAGCGAAACTACGGACAGTGTGCCCAGTGACGAAGAGAGCGCCGAGGTAAGCACGCCGGCCACCACGCCTCCCGATGGGCACCGGGTCCTCCCTGCTAGTGAAGGTTCTTTTCTGTTGGTCGGGAGGGTTACTCTTGGATTTTTGTGTGTGTGGTAAAGTACACGAAATGTGACTTTTACCGTATTGCAGAGTTCGAAGTGTAAGATTAAGCCTTGGGAAGTGCATGGGAGGGAAGGGAGCCCGAGGTCACCCCTGGGAAGAGAGGCTGTGATGGCGGAAGAGGAAACCGGACCGGGCCAGGCGCGCTGTGCTTCTTACCGCTGCCCACAGCTGCGTTTGTGTGCAGAGGCAGGAGTCCAGGTGGCCAAAAGCAGTGGCCGGCCGTAGTCCTTAGAAAGTGCCGACTGAGCAGAGGTGGCCCCCTGTGCACCGGGGCCCCGGCCCACTGTGCTCGCGTCCCAGAGGCCAGGTGTGTGTTCGATCTTGATCAGGAGTCACCTGCCTCTGGTTTCCCTCCGGGCTCACATGAGGGCAGGGAATGGCTGTAATGGTGATGGAAAGCACTCCTGCTTCGTGTCTGTGTCAGAGAGGGGGGGAGACAGACAGACAGAGACACACACACGCTAATGGTGGTTTGAATTAGTGGTTTCCCAGGGTACCAAATACTTCCAAGTACAGTCCAGGAATCCCGAAAAGACAGAACTAGGTGTAGAAACTCATGTACATTCCGACCCTGTTTCTTCAAGGTCAGGAAACCAGCTCCTTCTCTGAATGATGCCACCCTCGGGGCTGGCCATTGGCTTGGCACCCCAGAGCCCTAAGCGTCACCCGTTTGAAAGCAGCCAAGGGGGACTCCCTGTTTGGTACTGAGTTTCTCACTTCCTTCCCTCTGAAAATGCAAGTTGTCTCAAAGATCCGATGGGGCCACCCAGCAGGAACCAAGTCACCACGACAGACCGACCATCGAGGCCTAAGACCCGTCTAATGATCAGGCTGGGCAGCCAGGGCAGAGGGGAGCCGGCGCCATGGGGCTGCCTGTTCTCCTGCCTTTGTAGTCCAGTCCTGGCTGCATGCCTGCCCCTGTGGTAGCAAATGGGAGTTGGTGAAAGGGAGGAGAGACCACTGCGTGGGGTGAGACTAGCTGGACCGGGACTTCGGCTGAGGGATGTGGACTCCCTACGCTTCTGTCCCTTCCACAACCCTTAAGAAATCCAGTTAAACACTAATACATGGGAACGGTAGTCCTCTTTTTTTTTTTTAAAGCTATTTCCTAGAAAGCCAAGAAAATAACATGTTTTCATTATTTCCTTCGAAAGGGACGGCCACCCTGGCGGAAGAGGAACATTGAAGGCAAACAGTACCTCAGCAACATGGGGACACGGAGCACCTACCTGTTGCCCAGCATGGCGACCTTCGTGACCTCCAACAAGCCGGACCTCCAGGTCACCATCAAAGAAGAGAACTACCCTATGCCCTTCAGCAGCTCCTGGCCCCCTTACCCAGACCACCCGCTCGCGTCCTCCGTCGCCCCCGCCACCCCCAGCGGCAGTCGGCCGGACCGGGAGACTCGGGCCAGCGTCATCAAGAAGACGTCCGACATCGCCCAGGCCCGAGTCAAGAGCTGTTAAGCCGTTGACTTCCCCTGGTGGCCGTTGGGGTTTTCTTGGCTTTGTGTTGTTGTTCGTTTGTAGTTTGTTTTTCTCTCTGACACCCGTTTTAGACAAATCTACAGGAAAAGCCTTGGCAGTAGAACACGGACCGCTGTGTCCGACCCCAGGACTGGAGCGTCGCTTTAACTCAGGACTCCAGCCCAGTGGCAGACATGTGTCTCTAAGAGCCTGCTGGATCTCCCAGGGCTGCTCCCTCAAGTTCAAGGACGTCATAGGACCAACACCCACACGGGCAGTGAGGTGCTGCATTGCCTGCAGTCAAGGCCAGCATGGTGGAGTGGATGCCTCCGAGTGGACGAGAAAATGTGAACTAGCTGGAATTTTTTATTCTTGTGAATATGTACATAGGGCAGTACTAGCGACGTTTGCAGTCGGCTTCTGCACCTTATCTTAAAGCACTTACAGATAGACCTTCTCGTGACCTTGCCCTCCTCCCCAGCACATTCAGCACCCCTTCCCCACCCTTCCCCACGCCTCCCCTCCACCCCTCCCGGTTCCTTTCCTCCTTCTCCTCTCTCAGTGGCTGTGTTCCACATCCCTGGGAGGGGAGGAGAAGAAAATGAACTTCTCCACAGATGTCCCATGTTAAGACTGCTTTAAAAAAAGACAAAAAATCTTTCTAATCTGCTATGCTTGAATGCCACGCGGTACAAAGGAAAACTATCATGGAGACCTTATGCAAATTCTCAGATTTGAAGACAAAAAAAAAAGTACTCTAATTCTAACCAGAGCAAGCTTTTTTATTTTTTATACAGGGAAATATTTTATTCAAGGTGAAAATTCTAAAGAAAATATAATTGTTTTTTATCTTTTCTACAGCAAATTTATAATTTTAAGATTTCTTTTCTTGTTTATCAGCAGTTGTTATTACACCCTTGTGGCACATTTTTTTTAATTTTGTAAAGGTGAAAAAGCTTTTATGAGCTCATGTAGCAATCAAATTATCCTGTGGATTGATAATAAATGAATATGATATATAGTTAAATTTTTAATGGGCATCCTGCCTGCTCTGTCTGGGTCTGCTTTGGAGCACAACCATGGGGCAGGGCCCACAAAGCACCATTTCTTCTTGGGGACCAAACAATTTTCCCTTCTTCAGCACGAGACACGCCGGAGGGCCGTACCGTGAGCACACGGATGGCTTCCTCCACAGAGGGCTCGCCCTGAGCCGGGTGCTGTGCTGAACGTTCTGTAGGAGTTACCCCCAGTCGAGGGGGGACACACACAGGGCGGGGATTTACCTCACTTCCCGCGGAGGGAACAGAGGCTGAAAACGGGAGCCCCCTTACTCCAGGTCACACGGGTGGTGAGAGGCAAGGCCGTGAGTGAGGCCCGAGTCAGCTGTGACAATGGGGCGAGTCTTCCCCGCCCCGCCGTTCTGCTCTGCCCTGAGTGCCTGCCACTTGCTTCTGTGCTGCCCCTGTTCTCACTGGAGGCTGCACCTGTGACTAAAGTTCTGTATTGAGTCACACGCTGGGCCCATGGACAAGACGTCTTCGAGAGCCAGCAGTGCTTGCTGGGGTCCGACTCTAAGCCCATCTTCTTTCTAGAAGCCGGGGACTTAGACATAGGTCCCAGAACTTAAGGGCGTGTCTTTTCGAGTAAGAAGCATGGATTTGACGACCCCCGATGCCCCCACCCATGTGGTACTTCAGGGTGTATCCCTGACCTTGGGGGAGCCCCTCCGAGTCACCTCTCACACTCCCATGACAGCTGTGAAATCGGGGAACTGAGACTTAGCTGCCTGCCTCCGACCTTGGAGGTTGTGGAGGAAAGTGTGAGGTTAACGTTTGAAAAGCCTCCTTCGGGTCAAAGACAAAGGGCTGGTTTTAGGCGTCTCACTGTCTGGCTGCGGGGCTGACCGGTGGCCGTAAGTTAGCCAGCCCTGCACAAAAATTAACAGGCATTCGACCCCTGGCTGAGTCGGCGTTGAAGCGCCACAGGTCGCTGACAGCCTGGCCCCGGGAGGAGCGCTTTGCTGACCACGTGTTTTCCTCCATTTCACAGGAAAACCTCCCTTTCTTAGTCACCGGGAGGAAAGGGACGCCCTGGCCTCCGGGCACGGGGCTCGGAGTTAAGCCCCCTTCTCCCAGTTCCCCGTGACTGGCATCTGCGTCATTTTCTTTAGTCGCCCTGTTTTAAGGTAAATTTAGAGAAACAGTAACAGGGGCCCTGAGTCCCAAGGTCAGGCTCTCGAAGGGTTGGGGGTGGCCCCGTCCCCCACCCCAAGCCCAGAGAGAGCACTCGGCTCACTTCCTGCGCGGGTCAGCAGTCCTGCCGGTCCCCAGCGCCATGCACCTGTGCCCTCCGCCCCTCTGGTTGGAGCCGGACTCCCAGAACCTTGCCCAGTGAAGGAAAATTCAGGATTTAGAAACGCAAGGTCGAAGTGCCTGCGATGCTCCACAGCTAATCAGGCCGTGAGAACCAGAAGCACGATTAAGTCATTCCCGAGAAAGGCGGTTTCGTTTCTAAGGGTTACTGGGCAGTAGTGTAGGGAAACCAGCTCTTCGGGGGACAGTGCAGTGCTGAGGGTCGGCAGGAGGCAGCGGAACCAGCGGGGCGTGTCGCGGACCCACGCCTCCGACCTTGTCAGTGACAGGAAGTCCCAGGGACATGTGCTTCCTCGGGCTGGCATCTGAGCGAGCTGATAATGCTTTTATGATGGGCTTGGCTGTGCGCATGTGTGTGCGTGTTAAGTAGCCAGCGGTGTGACAACCACGGGGACAATAGTCTCCATTCTCTGCAGCCGGCACCGAAGCCACTCCCTGGTAATGAGGAACCTGGCACAGCTGTGAACTCTGACCCCAGTGACAGGAATTTCCGCCTCAGCGCAAGGTTGAGAGAACCAGCACAGGCTTCCAGAACACCATTTGCAAGTCTCTAAACAAATCCATGTTCAGCTGTAACATATTTTCCATGTTTGGGTGAAGTCGCTGCCAAAAGAGGTGTTTAGTCTATTTAAATGTATTTATAGAGAAGAAGAAATAGGCATGGATCAGAAATACACACAACACAAATCCAGTGGAAATTAAAACCCCCAAATAGAATCTTCCCCCCACCCCCGCCAGAGCTCAAGTGCACTAAACGATCAAGTAACTGCTACTGAGACGAAAATGTTAGGAACGAGTAAGATTGGTGATTTGGCATGTGCTTTTGTAAGTATTTTGCAAGTGAATGAAAAAGATATTAAGCCCCAAACGGCCTCCCGCTCTGAGCTAGAGAGATGGAACCTTAGACATTCCATTTGCTTGAGGCCATTCTTTGAACTTCGCATTCATTCGGGTTTCAAAGCCCTGTTATTCTAGCTATGGACAAACAGACCCAGATAAAAGGTGAAAATAAGAACCCCACCGTTCAGCCAAATGTCTGCTGAAGAAAGACAAAAGGCATGCTGGAAAGAGGCTGGCAGACAGGTAGCCGAGCCGCGTCGCTGGCACACGGGGAAAGCTATCCAGTGTCTCGGTAGCAGTTCAAGTTTGGAAGGAGAGTGGAGGCAGAACTGGATTATACCTGGTGGTGTCCAGCTCCCTCATCCTGAAATTCCATCCAGTGCCACACCCAGGGCCAGGTGACCAGAGCCAGTGGGACCATCAGCCGAGGGCTGGGAGCCAGCACGCTCGCTCCATCCGTGGTTCCCGAGGCCGTGGGAGACCCCGCCCCCGGGGTTTCACAGTCCGCAGGACTTCGAGCTTCTCAGGGCTGTGTCTCAGCCACCTTTCCTTCCCAACCTGTGGGCCGAGGTTGGCTCCATAGTAGGCAGTCATCCCAGGGTCTCCTCCCCCCCCACCCCGGGATCATCGCATCAGTGTCAAGAGCAGGGCAGGGACCCTTGGCAGTGCCCCTCAGGAACACAACCAGCCGTGGAGAGGGGAGCCCTGGGCTGTGTCCACGCAAAATGGTGGTGGGTAGGACAGTGCCCTGCCCGGCTTCTGGGCCCCGAGAGCACCCCGTGCCTTGGTCATTGCTGGCCCCTCTGTGCAGGCAAACACGGGTATTGTGAAGGTTTCCCTCCGAGGCCATGGCGACATCAGGTGCAAGGGCTCCTGTCTCTCTCTGCTACTGAAAATACTGCCCGGGAGGAAGGAAGTGGCCAGGCCTAAGAGCCGCTTTTAGCAAAAATGTTAAGTCTGTCCAAGAACTTGAGTCATGCTGTGGAAGGATCAAGATGCAGGGTGTTCGCATCAAAGTTCGCAGGGTCTGAAAAGAGCATTTTCTGGAGTCCCGCGACTAGTTTCTTAAGGAGGGAAGCCGCGGGTGCTCCCGTTGCTCCCAGCGAGCTGCCGGTTGGAGGGTCAGCAGTCTCTCTGTTCTGCTTCATGAACGTGTTCAGAGAGAGAGACCACTGGCTCTGTGGGAGGCCTGGTGCTGGACTGTGCAACGCCGGTCCGTTAACCCCTTACACGCACGGTTGGGGAAGTGCCACCATCACACACAACAGCCTGTGTGGCGAAAACAGTTCATTTTAGTAACATGACTGTTTTTTGCAGGTGCAAAAAAAATTTCCCAGGTGACAGCATCTCTAAGTTTCAGTTTTGATTGAGAAGAGCGTTTTGAAACCTAAGTGCCAAACATCCATCCACGTGAATCATCAGGAAAGAGAATGCCCCAACGTCCCTTCCATCTTCCAGAAGCTTGGGTTGAGGATCGGAGAATCCTCGGATTCTACAAATTCTCTCGAATGCACCAGCTCAAAGGCCTGGACATTGCAAACTCAAAAATTTTACCCGAACACACTGCCTGAGACGTCAGGAGAATGTTAGCAGCTACAGGGGTTCCTCACGGTTACTGGTGGCTGAGGCTTTATTTATTTCTAGAACTAACATCAATGAGAGTGAACTCGACAAAAGTTTCCTCTTCTGTCTTCCAACAAGATTACACACTTAAACTGCAGCATTTCCTGTGGGGAGCTCATGTATCGTGTTTTTAATGTAATTATGAAATACAGAAGAGATTTCTCAGGCTGAGCCTTAACATACTCAGGGTCTAGGCAAATAGAAAGTTTAGGAACAATGTGAAATGCAGCCCCGTGTCGTTGCTCAAATTTCACCTGATGGCTTCAGGGGTTCTTTGCAGCTTGGCTGTGGCACGGGAAGGAAATCGCAGGCTGGCTGAGTGATTCATGTTTGCAAACCTTTATTTGCTAGATGGATTTAAAGTGCTGTAATTCCAAATGCCTTGTTTGAGCACCTTGTGGATTTAATCAGGGAAACAATCATCTTGCTTTGCCCAGGACTGAAGGGGGTGTTCCTGGGACTTGGGACTTCAGCGCTAAAAGTGGGAAAGTCTCCTGCAGACCAAGAGGAGCCGGTCACCCTAAATCCAGGACTGAGTTTCAGAGAACAAATGTCATTCTGTGTCCTTTGAGGATTTTCTAAACCTAGGAAAAAGTTTTACAAGGAGGCGTTATTAAGGGCATATTATTGATGAGTCTATTACCGATACCTTAATTTAATAGCAGGATTCTGTTTAGAAAAGCGGATCTATTGGTTCAACTCTACTTACCGAGTTCCTTCCATTTGCTGGAACTGTCCTAAGTATTAGAGCACTTTTCGGAAGTGAACAGAATACGGCCCTGGTTCTCACGGAGCTTAAATTCTAGCAGAGATGGACATTCAACCAATGAATGTTCTTTCCGTGACAGTAAGGAGGATGGAAGAAAACGAAGCCGGAGAAGGCAAGATTAGGAGTCACAGGGACATGCACAGCCTTCATTTTGGAACTTGAAGGACCAGTTAAAGGGCTGGCAGTTGCAAAGACTAGCAGTTAGTGGGAAAGAGGAAAACCGTGTGTATCAGCAGGGTTCAGTTGCAGGAAATAGAAACCACTCTTGCTATTTTAGGCAGAAGGCACCGAACACAGAGAAGCTGGTGTTTACAGCCCCGCGCCCCCTCCATGCAGGTGGGACATCAGGGGGCCGTCGCCGACGGACAGACTGTGGGAACACACTGCTTTAGCTGGAGTCTGAGAATCAGGAAGCCCCTGTCATCCCCACCCTAACTGATCTCTCGACACCCGTTAAATTACTGACCGAGCATTGAGACACAGATTTAGAAAGTCCCAATTTCTCCACAGTCGTGGCTGCCCAAGGTCACAGCCAAACCAGCAGGGAGGTGGCTTTTGCTCCAATTCTCACGTCCCGTCCCAGCAAGTGCAAGCAACTAGTTGAACGGAATTCATGGTTGGAAGCCTCACTGCAAGAAAGTCTAGGAAACATGGTTCCAGATTGTTAGAACATCCAGAGAATGAAGTCTTCTTCCTGTCCACTCCAGGGGAGTGGAGAGGGCTAGGCTTTCAAAGTCAAGTAAACCTGGGTTCAGCTCTCCAGAAATGAGAGAAAATATAAACACCGAAAAGGCCCCCTAGGAAACTGTATCTATAAAAACAACTTTGAGACATCATTCTTGTGAACTGTCAGATTTAAAGACAGACACACAGACAGACACATACAATCTTTAGGGCCTGTATCAATCTCCTAGGCTTGCTGTCACAGTTTACTGTAAACTTGGTGACTTGAAACAACATAAATTAATTTTTTTACAGTTCCTGGGGCCAGAAGTTCAAAACCAAGGTGTGAACAGGGGCATGTTTCCTCTGAAACGCCTGCTTGTCTCCTCCAGTCTCTGGGCCCCTGGTGCCCTTGGGGTGTGGCGACACCCCTGTACTGTCTGCCTCTGTCTTCACACGGCTTCTCCTCCACGTCACCATCCCGCCGTCCATCTCAGATCTGCCCCCCATGTCTATCTCTCAAATGAATGCTTGTCCTTGAATTTATGGACCACCTGGATCATCCAGGATGATCTAATGTGATATTCTTAACTTAATTACATCTGCAAAGAACCTTCTTCCAAATAAGGTAACATTCACATGTTCCAGGGACTTGGACATGGACATGCCTTTCGGGGGACCGCTATTTACTGCACCACAGGGTCTCCAACTGCAAGGTCAAATTACTAACAAGGGCAAGAATGTTAAATAAACAAGCATCAGGTTTCACATGAGTCAAGTTATAAACCTAGTTAGTAATGGGGCAGCATTCTGAAGAGGCTGAAGAGCAAGAACGTGAGCCAAAGATATTCTGTGTAGCCAAGCTGTCCTTCAAGTACCAAGGTTAAAGAAAACAATTTCCACGTGCAATAACTCGGGGGATACCATACACATGTCCAGCAGGGCTCTTCCGGGGGGTGAACTCTATCTGTCATGTGACAACTGGAAGAACTTTAGCAAGAGGGCTGGTGGTGAAAATGTGTTTTATGAGGCAATTGTTTGAAATGTATTATCACATAACAGTTTATATTATATTATGTATATATGATGTATTACATAATTATGCCATCATTTCTATACATATATACATATAATATCTTATTACATAATTATATATTAATTAGATAGCTAAAGCCTAAAACAAGGGTGAGGATATGAATCGTAGTACCTACATAATACACGTTCTGGAAAAGTAAAAATCATACAACTGAAAGAGAGGGGAAGGGAGAGAAATGGAAGCCACAACAGTAACACTGACGGTTGCACAGACAATAGGTGAAGGAGGAGAATATAAATGAACACACCAACAGAGAGTAAAGCCTCCGTAAGAAATAAGGGAGATTAAGGGCCCTGTAAATGGAATGACTGCAAAGGCAACCACTGGAAGAAACATATAAACATTCTGAAATGCCAAAAGGGGTGAAATAGTGAATAGCAAAGAAAATATGCCACATAAAGAAATATACTCAACATAGTAAGTGCAGCCCTGGCCGGGTGGCTCAGTTGGTTGGAGCGTCGTCCCGTACGCCAGGGGGTCGAGGGTTCGATTGCTGGGTGGGGCGTGTACCAAGGTTGTGGGTTTGAACCCAGGTTTGGGTGCTCACAGCAGGGAACTACCGAATCTCCTCTCTCTCAGAAGGAAGAATAATACAACACAGGCAGTAACTGCAGCAGAAAATAACGTGACAGTCTTGAGACTAAACATATGAGTCATCTCAATAAATGGAGTGCATTTTGCTGTTTCTTCTCTTTTCTGGTGATAGTGACAAATGAGCCAGTTCTCAAATTGGCTTACAAGGCTAAACTTGACCCCCGTGCTCTAGTTAATGGACGCACCTCCAACACAGAGATTCAAAAGACCAAAAATAAAGCAACGGGCAAAGGTACACTAGAAAAATGACAACAATAGAGGCGAGGCAGTGACTGCTGGATCCCAAACAAAGTGAATTCAGGCCAAAAAGCTGTGAATGAGACAAAATATGTCAGGCTGGAAACCACAATTCACAATCAAGGTAAGTTATAAACATTTATGGACCAGCTAACGCAGCAACCACCAACATAATGCAGAAGCAGCACGAGATGAGGACAGAAGCGGGTGGAAACCAGTAATAATAAGGGGCTTTTCGCCACACGCAGTGTGGCGGGTCCGATGGAACCAATGGAAAGGAAATAAAGATATGTGTTCTAAACAATTGAATAGATGAGGTAGAAGTTATGTGTATATATATTCGATACTTTGCCCTAATATCTTCTTTTCAATTATAATGAACATGCATCATTTTTCAAAGTTGGCCATAAATTCTTGTTGATGGTCACATTAACTTATCCGAAATAAGTTCGGTCCATCTCTGCTTTCTTTGTGGTATTCCCCTGGTCTGATTCAAAGTGTGAGTTGAAAACAGTTCTCCCTTTAACTTGCATCCCTGGCCCTTTCCAGACACAGCATAACAATGATCTCCTTTTTCAGCACAGTGCGTGGGTTGCTTAGAGTACAGTGAGCTTTCAGACACCAGCGTCCAGAGACAGCAGGAGTCTCTCGGCCTCTGGGGAGAAATCTGCGGCAGCTTCTGCCTGCCGTGGGGCATGCCCTCCCTCGGTGCTGGGTGGGTTGTGACGTGAACAACACCGTCACCAGCCCCGTGGCCAGGTCGGAGGGAAATCAGAGGTTAGCCACACTTGAAATACGTGCAGAGGACAAACGCTGAGCATTCTGAGCATTCGTGCCTTCTGTAAGGTGTCTACAAAGTACCACAATGCTCCTGCTGCAGCGAACACCACGTATCAGCCATTTATTTTGGCAACGTGGTTTTTTAAAAAGCACTTGCTTAATGTAAAATGTATTACTGTGTTTTTGCGTCTCAAGGAAGTAGATGATGAAGATGTAAGTTGCACAAAATGTCTGTTGACATTTATTTTCCAGCAAGGGTCAGTGGTAGTATCATGGACCACAAGAAAACGTGTGGACAAAATCCGCAAAAGAAGTACCAACATCTATCTCAAAAGCTGGTAGTTATGTTAGGATTATGTTAAGATTAACCGAAACAGCGGCCAAAGATGCATTTACACCACCCTATCATGGGAAGCGGTGATGATTTTTTATTTAGATCAAAGGCCATTCTTTTAACTGAATTCTTTTCATTTTCAACGGTGGTGGCCCAGGTCCTTCCAGGAGCTGGAGAGTCCAGTCCTCCAAGAGTACCATGCAGAGACAGTTGGGAATGGGAAATGAGGCTTTTCCCCAAAAATCAACCTGAAAAAGTGAGATGTACAAAATCTGAAAGTTTGGTGATGAGTGAGGGGGTGCAGGTGGAGAATTCCATGGCCAGAAATGAGAGGAAAGGGTTTCTAGTTGCCCCCAACAGAGATGTTGCCCTTTCCTGTCTGGCACAGGAGTGAGGGGCGCGGTGGGGGAGCAGAGGGCTGGAACCCTGTTTGCGGGTCCTCCAGATGCTGGGTGGGCAGTGCTGTGTGTACCCGTGGGGGCGGGGGCTGCAGACACACACATGGGCTTCGCTCACCCCCGCCCTGGGCTGGCCCCACTGAAGCAGACACGGAGTCCCCACGAGGCGACTTTTTTTTCCAGAGCTTCGGGGAAATTCCATGTGGACCTGCGCATCTTGGCCTGGTTTGGCTCCATCCTCCTGGGTACGTTCCGGTCACCGTTTACAGGCTGGGGACACGCTCTTTGTCACAAAGCTGGGGATTTTGTCAGAGGCAGCCAGACAAAACGGGAAGGGAGGGGCTTTGCCCTGTGAGAATGTCTAACCGCGATTAAAAGGTGGTTTGCTTTATAACTTTATTAGAAAGAAACAAAACAAACACCCAAAGCAAGAATGAACACACAGGAGAGCATACAAAACTGCAAAACACTTTTATAGGATTAATTTTTAATTCCAGTATCAGATGTGAGGGTGTTTCACAACAGCTGCGTGTCCATACACAGTCAAATGGGGATAAGAGCCCTAGAACAGGGAGCTTTTCGCCCTTGTTGGGAAAACACACATTGGCCTAGGAGCCTTCAGGAAATGAAGTCTGATCTGGAAGAGATTAGCCTCGGGGTAGTTCAGGCAGGAAATTGAAGCAAAACTATTGTCTTCTTCTTCCTTTTTAGGTTAGTTTTCTCTCCAGGCTGGGACTTGAACTCTGTGTTCTCTAGGGTTGTTTTGGGGGGGTGGGGCAGAGCTGGGGCGGCAGGAAGGGCAGAGGTCAGCTCAATTTGTTAGCTGGTAGACCTGCTCTAGCTCTGTGGCTGAAGTAGAGTTCTCCAGGCCTTGTGATTTTTGGAAACTGCCGATTTCCTCTAGATGAAGATTCACTCCGTTTCTTCACGTGTTAATATTTAGGAAATTAGGACCTGCAATGTCGACAGCTGGGCAGAGGAGCAAGGTGCCATCTCGGCTGGGCCTGTTTGTGGCCACACAAATGTAGCCAGCCTAGGAGCGACTCATCACCTTCTTAGCCACTTCTGTGTCATTATCTGCATCGGTGGCACCACACGCTGTTAACCTCTGACCCTGGTGGCCGCTGAAAATGTCTTCACAGAGATGGCACTGCTGGACGGTGTTGAAACAGAAGTCACTGTGTGCACATAAGCTGCCCGGCCAATGCCAAGCCTTGCAAATCACCTCATCACACAGAATAAAGTTCTCAAAGCCAGGGGAAATGGGTGTGACCACTGTGTAACAGGGCGCAGCCAGGAGGGGGGTGCCCAAGAAAAGGATTTGGAATGATGTCCAGAACTCAAGGTGTATAGGAATATTGGAGAGACATATAAGATGTCCTCACCTGCCCCAAGGGACAAATGGAGCAGGGCCATTGAGAGCTGTTTTGCATAGCAACAGTTTCGCAGCTAACCTCTAGAATGGGCATTTAACATATCTACAACCCTTGACTGGTTTCATAGATATGTTAAATAGCTGTGGCCATGCTTTGAGCCAGGGGGAAGGAAGTGACTTCTACCCAGGATGTAACTGGGGGCTGGTCCCCTGCCCCCCCACCCCCAGTTACAGCGCCTGTGTGAGAGCTTGGAGAAGATTGGCTCTAGGACATGGGGCCATACCTGCCCAGACTAACAATGGCAGCCCAGTAAACTTGTAATAATACAGAAATACTGGCAGGTGTAACTGATCGTGGGAGGAGTTGGAAATAGGGATACAGAGGAAGATTGGTGTGGGGATTTAAACCCAGACATGGCAGCCATTGGGCAGAGAGCCACGTGGTTTTGGGCAGAGTTAGGACCCCCTCTTGGCAAGGTGAAAGAGTGAGCCACGCAGCTTTGCCAGAATAGAGATCCCTGCAGTCAGGTGAAGAAGAAAGACACACGCTTTTAGTGGAGTGCAGACCCCTGCAGCTTTGGTAGAAGAGGCCCACACGGCTTTGGGGGTGCTCCCTTTGGCCACGTTGCCTGGGAAGCAGGAGAGACTTTGCCTGGAAAAATAGGTACAAAAAACTCTTGCCAGTGGACCGTGAGAAGGTGCTACATGGCTTTGCATTAACTAGAGATCCTGCCTGACATGGCTGACAGTCGCAGCAGCTTGAAACACAGACGTGTGCTGCTTTTCCTGATTTACGGTACCCAGAGTTAGGACCAGGGGAGAAGGGAGCGCTGTGGGCGTCTGTGGTTATCCGAATGGCCTTTGATATTTTTATGGGGACATTGGATCACTACTTTAAGTCTGTATAGCTTTAAATAAACCTTTCCTTTCCTTTTCACAAATCTCTGGCATTGAGAGATGTCTTTCCTCGGGCAGCGGACAGATTAGCCCAGTAGGTATTAGTATACCATCCTTGGGAGGGGCCCCTGTTTTCTGTAACAGTTTTTGGAATCCCCAAATATTGACCCCCTTGGACCTCTGTTTGGCAACAACTTCACACACCGTAAAAAATTAAGCAGACTCCCAAGCTGATCAAATATTTCTAGTGACTTTCAATAGAAGCTGCTTAATACTTAAACACAAAGGAAAAGCCAAATTGTAAGTTTGAATAAAGAGGATTCTGCAAGATGCCTTCAAGTGACCTTGTCAATATTAAGAATATGTGGCAAGTGGCCATGCTCCTAAACATGACCAGAAAGCAGTGTGTCCCTACAAAGCTGTGGGTAATGCATGTGTCCAGAATGATATGGAAGACTCTTCAGTCTCTGGTTATGAAATAAGCAAGGGGTTTGCAGTCTGAGTCAGGTGACTGGGGGACAGAGCGTTCTCTTCTTCCATGGTTACATTTCAAAGAGGGGCTGGCAAAAGGCTTCTTTGGCCATTGAAAAGATTTACCCACATCGGAAGAGGACAGAGAAAGAAATTTGGAAAGAATGGGGAGAAGGGGACAGCCTCTTCCCTTCTTTTCAACAGGAAGAATTCAGTCACTCATTTTTCATTTGCCTTTACACGCCCCAGTATCTAGAACAGCGCCCGCCGTAGGTGTTTGCAAAGAGCTGCGAGATGAGGAAGTAAACGAAGCATCGGTGTGACTGTCCAGAGGCTTAATCCATGACTGCAGACCCCATTTGCAAACTGTTCTGTGGGATGGCACCGTGGTTCCAGCAGGTGGGAATGGGCT